GTCGGCCCTCACAGCCTGGGCAAAGCTCCTGTGGCGGAAAGAGCATGCTGAGGAGATGAAACTCCTCTAGTGTTGGGCTCTCCCAGTGGGTGGGAGAGGGGAGCTGCAGACGCAGCCGGTGGGGCCCGGAGCTGGGCAGGGAGACCCCAGCCCTGGCCCTGGGTCTGCTCTGGTTGGCTGGGGCTGGGCTGCAAGATTAGTGCCCCCACAAAAAAAGATCTGTTGAAAGCCTAGCTCCTCTCGCCCTCCAAGCCCTGGGTGGGAAATACGACCACATTCTCCTGCTTGCTGCCCTCTTTTTCACTAGACAGTATGCTTTACTGTTGTTTCCCAGTGTACAGTTCCATTGTGTGATGCTCACAGTGAGGTTGCAACGCCAGAACTGCTTTGTGCATACCCGGAGAAAGATATTTTGTTTCCCGGGAGCCCAGCCACCCCAAGCTGGGCCTACTCACTCACAGGCATGGCAGTTTTATAAACTGATTTGACCCGGGAACATTACTCCTTCCCACTTTTTTTTTTAGATTCATTTATTTATGCATACAGTACTGGGGTTCAGGCCAGAGGGGCAGGGGTGAGAGGCTTCACCAGAGACAGAGTGGGGAGCAGAACAGGCAGATCAACGAAGTACACTGCTGAGGGGAGCAGCGGGCGGGTCAGGAGAGGTCTGCGGCGCCACGTGGCAGGGGCCGGGGATCGAACTCGTGCTGAAGGGGCTTTTAAGAGGGTTTTCAAGAGCATCCGGTACTGTCTGATTTCAGCCATGAGGCCCTCGTGGCCTAGAATGATTGTCCTCGTGGCCTAGAACGATTGTCCTTTCAAATCACGCCTAAGTTGAACTGGTTAAAACAATTAGCCTTTCTCTACCCCGACGGCTGCTTCTCTCACTCGTTTGGGGGTTCACTGACTCTGGCTTCTCACGGGCTGTGGGTGCGCTGCGGTGTGGCCTTCGGGAGGCCGCCTCCCCGCCGGGACGCAGAGTATGTTTGGACAGGAACGGGGCTGGCCTTACATTCCTTGGGTAACTGTGACCCAGCATGCCCCCAAACCTTTGAAACAGCAGAAATGGGGGGTCTGGGGCTGAGGAGGTTGGAAAGCTGAGAGCCAGGCGTGGGCAGGCCCCGTGCATTGCCGCCTGTGCTCCTCACCTTGGGCGGTTTCCTGGAGGTTGTATTTGCTCTCTGGCTGGTCACCCAGGGCATGTTGTTTAGGGACCACCCCACCCCAGTGTGACCTCATCTTAACGGAAATCATTGCGCCTGCGTGACCCGCCTCCAGGTAAGGTCACCGTCTAAAAACTCCTGGTAGTTCGGGCTTCAACGTAGTGGGGGGGTTGGGATGGGGAACACAACCTATAGGGACCTAGAGTGGAGAGGCCCCTGTGTCCCCCCAGAGGGAGGGCTGGGTGTCCTCCCCCTCCTGGCCGTGGTGCTGCGGGGGGCCCCGAGCTACTGTTGGCTCCGCGGCCCATCGGCGGGCAGTGCCCAGTGCCAATTTGGCCGCCGAGGCCTCTGCAAACAGGTCGTGTTGACACAGGGTCTCGGCCTCCTCACCCCCCCACCCGGCCCGGTTGCCCAATCGCGTTTGTGCAATCCTGGCACCCCGCTGCGGAGCTTCCAGGCCCCGGGAGGGAAGCACGTGGAGGGGCCCCCCCAGCGGCCCCCTGCTGCGTGAGGGCTCCGCAGCAGGCCCAATTTTTGCAATTCAGAAAACAAAACGTTGGAAGGGATGATGTCATCGGAATTCAAAAAGCATCATGCCAGGGCAACCAGGTGCCCCCTCCGCCCTAGGTCCCACGCTGAACCCCCCTTCGCCTAGAAATACGTCCGACGGGTCAGGCGGGGCGTTGTTTTGCTATAGCAGGAGACACCCCTCGCCCAGGGCCCGGGGGCCCTGGTCACGCCGGTCTGGACCCCCAGCGCGGCCACCTGCCAGCTTCACGGGCGTCAGGCTCCTTGGCCCCAGGCCAGCGGGCGCCCAGCGGACAAAGGTCATTTTAAAGGCCAGCGGGACGCGTCCAGGCAGACGGGATGAACCCTCGGTTGTGTAACGCCCATGATGGCACGTTTGGGGGAGACGACCCCCAGCCGCCTTCCGGAGATGGGCCTGTCGCCTTGTCCCCACTTGCCAGTGTTCGAGGGCTCCTCCCCCTGCCCTGGGGGCTCCCCAAGTCATCCTGTTCCACCACTAATCCGCTGTAGCTCAGCTGCTTCACACAGTCATTCAGTCCAGCCAGACCGCTGCAGTCCCTGGGGATCCGGGGTGGGGAGCGAGGGGGGAGGGTCTCAGGTCCCAGTGGGGGGCAGCCTGGGAGGAGGCGTGGCTGGCCGATGGGACGGTCCCTCAGGAAAGAACTTGGCGGGATGGTGGGGGGCCGCGGACTGGGGGGCTTCGGCGCCTGCGACCCAGACCCGGTGACGATGGTGGAGGGCTCCTTCCCCGAGCAGGCCGCCCACGGCTCACCCCTGAACGCCGACTGTGTGACCCCAGCCTCTCCTCTCCACGGCTGTGCACGCAGGCCGGCCTTTGCCAGCCTGAGTTGGCTGCAGGGCTAGGGCCCTGCTCCCAGAGAGTGCCTGCGGCCCAGCCCCCTCCGCTCCCAGCGCCGCCTTCGGAGCGAGGCTTCCGGAAACTTCTCACGTGGCTGCGGCTTCGCTTTTGGTTTTGGCTTTTTGGCATGAAACGTTTTTGTTTTGCATGATTTGATTTACAGAAAAGCTTCCCCTCTGCTAATTGCTGGCCACGCTTGCTTCTTCCTGGCCTGTCTTTCCGTACTTGTTGGGGGCCACTGGACAGGCCCCCAGCTGTGTCGCACACACGCGCATTCACACTCACACGCGCACACAGTCACATGCGCTCACACATAGCTCACACTCACACTCTCACATATTCACACACACACTGACTCACACACTCACACACTGACACACACACACACCGACACACACACTGACTCTCACACACACTCACACACTGACACACACACTGACTCACACTCACACACACTCACACACTGACACACACACTGACACTGACTCACACACTGACACTGACTCACACTCACACACTCACACACCGACACACACACATACTGACTCACACACTGACACTCACACACTGACACACACACTGACACACACTCACACACACACTGACTCACACACACACACACTGACTCGCACATGCACTCACACACACACACCCTCCTCCCCTGCCCAGGCCCACCTGTTCAGACCTCTCATCTCTTTCCTCACCTGGAACCTTCTGTTCCTCAGGCTTCATTGCCCGTGACCTGGACACTTTGGGAGATGACAGAGCAGCTGCTTCCTCTGCAACTCAGGGCATTTCCTGGCGGTCCTGTTCAGGCTTTGCATTTTGGGCAGGGGGGTTCCGCCAGGAGCCTCCCCTGCCCTCCCGAGCCCCCTTTTCCTAAGTGATGTGTGTGTGTGTGTGTGTGCAGGTGCTATGCCCCAGCCGGGGTGGGGAGGGTCTGCCAGGGGACCCCCATCTCGTGTCAGCAGCACCGAGAAGCCCAGCTGAGGCCCCCACCCCGGTCGCCAGCACCCCACCCCTCCCCACCAGCCACCCTGGAATGTAGCCCCGAGCTGGCTTCTGAGCTGAGCCCCCAGATTTTGGATTCCTTGGTGTCCGGCTTCCCCCACCCCGAGTCCCTGAGTGCAGAATTGTGGGGGGTCGCGGGGGCCAGGAGGAGGCTTCGGAGGGGCTGGCCCCACCAGCGCGTTCACCTTGTAAGAACTCGTGGAGCTGGATGAGTGTGAACTATGCATCTTTACATTCAAATTTTTTGTTAAAAAAGGGCAGCCGTTGTATGCAGACCTGGAGTCTGAATCAAGGGTTTGGGCTTCAGCTCCGCCGCTGCTGGTGAACCCCACGATCTTGGGCCTTTGGGCTCTGCAGAGGCGGCTCGGCCTCCCATCTGTCAGTTGGGCGTTTTCTCCTTTCCCATCTGCAGCAAGTCACTACAGCTCGTGCCTCCTCGGGCTGTGACAAGATTAACACACTTCGCAGCTCTGGAGCAGGGTTGCACAGGGGGGTCCCCTTTCCCAAGTGAAAACAAGTCAGTGTCCACTTCAATCCAAAAGTGGTGAAAACTCACCACTGAAACTAAGTGTTGATGAAGTCGCTGGGCGCTTGTACTGCCCCACAGCACCCCAAGAAAGTGGGGGATACAAACCCAGGCTAATGAAGGCTGGGGTGAGGTGAGCCGAGGGCCTGTGGGAGCCGTGCAGGAGACAGGCGATTCTCTGTGCTACAGAAGGGCGTCTGCTCTCCTCCCCAACCTGGCAATCTGCGTGACATCCAGAGCACCCGACACTAGAGTGTCCCCCATATTGTGCCTGCAGTTCTGAGAACAAATTAGGAGTTCCTGAGATGTCCCCTAGGGGGCAGCCTCGTCCACGCATGGCAAGATGTTAGTGCCCAGCAGACAAGCACATGCAGGAGGCCTCCTTGTTCGCGGTGTCTGCGTGTGCAAATTTATCTGTAACCCCCAAAGCAACACTGCTGGTGTTCCCTGGCACCCAGTGGCGTTGCTGAAGCATCGGCCCGCGTTCCAAAGCGCTGGGAGGCGGGTCCGAGCCCCACGGAGGTTCGCGTCTGGACGGCTCGCGGGGGTACCAGGGTAGCTGTGCGATGGGAGTTCGGGGTGCCTTAGATAAAGCATCTCTTAAGAGAACAGGGGATCAGTGGGTGAAAATATTGAGCCCCACGGTTTGCAGGAATCAGGCCCCGTATCTTCCCAGGAGCAGTAATTCCTGTCTGCTGATTGTGTTCGCTGGCGGTAGAGCGGAGCGCAAAGGCGGAGTCCGTGCCTGCGTCCGTGTTTTCTGCTTTTTCTCGGTATACAGAGGCGCGTCAGGCGTGATTCTGCGTCTCCCGGCTTTCACCTGAGCCTTCAGAGGTCTTTCCATGTCACCGGAGACTTTTTCTTCCTTTCCCTAAGGCCTCTGGCATTTTATATGCGTCCCCAAAAAGAGACCGGGCAGTGAGGCTCCAGCGTGAGGAGCAGAGGCGGGGTTCAGTGTCACGTGGGGTTTTGTGGCTGAGGTAACCTCAGTTTACAACAGCAGTGGCCCTTCACTGCGCCCCCCTTCCTTCCTCTCTGGCAGCGCCTCGTTCTGCTGCCAACTTCTAAGCATCTGTGGTGGTTTTATTGGTTCATTTGCTTTGTTTGATTTTGCTTCCTTTTTCTTAAAATTTTTTTTAAGATTTATTTTTACTTATTTATGCTTGCAAGTGCTGGGGTCTAGGCCAGAGGTGTGGGCGTGAGAGGGTTCACCAGAGACAGAGTGGGGAGCAGAACTGGCTGACACACTGAAATCCACTGCTGAGAGGAGCAGCAGGCGGGTCAGGAGAGGTCTGCTGCACCCTGTGGGTCACTCCCTGGCAGGGGATCGAACTCATGCTGCAGTGACTGGCAACAGCTTGATAGCACTGACACTTTAACCCCTGTGCTGCCGAGCAGGCCCTAGTTTTGTTTCTGTTCCACAAATGAGTAAAATCATCTCTTGACTTAGTTCACTAAGTATCATCCCCTCCTGTTTCATCCACATCATCACAAATGAGAAGACCTCTTTGTTTATGACTGCATAGTACTCCGCTGCCTATTTATACCACGCCTTCCCGACCCACTCATCTGACGTAGGGTTTTTAAGCTTGGAGGGGCTGGTTCAGGCCTCCCAGGGGGTCTGTCAGGCCATGGAACTCTCCCTCCTCCCTAGCCATGATGCGGATGGTCTCTGCTGTGCTCCAGTTTGGCAACATCGGCATCAAGAAAGAAAGGAACACTGACCAAGCCTCCATGCCTGACAACACAGGTACTGCCCCTGCACCCCCTTGTTCCACATACAGCAGCCCGCCGCCCCACCAGCCGGACTTCTCCCACTTGGGCTGCATCCTGATTGCCTGCCCTGGGCTGCCGGCTCTTGGGCTGCGGTCCCCTCCCTTCCCCACTGTCTGAGGCCTGCTGAAAGCTTCAACGCGCCCGTGTCATCCCTGCCCCTGGCGAGAGCTGCCCATGCCTGCCATTAGCCCTGGGGGTACTTGTTCTCTGCCTCTTGCCTGCCCAGGGCACATTTCTTCCTTTCTTACCAAAATCTGAATCTCTGCCTCTTTCTTCTTATAAATCATACAAGCTGGATGGTGGAAAATTTGGCCAGACAGAAAAGCATAACGGCAGGAAATTACCCATAATCACACAACCGAGGGCAATTACGAAGCATGGGGGGATTTCTCTCTGGGCTTTGTTCCGCACCTCTCCTGGCGTGGGGAGAATTGTCACGGAAACAGAAGCCTGTTTGCACCTCCTTCCCCTCCTGTCCTGATCATTAAACCCTGTGGACTCTTTTTCTAAGAGGTTCAGGAAATGGGAAGTAAAGGAGCACCCCCACATCTGTGAGGCGGTTGATCAGTAGCATCAGCACACGTGGGGGTGCCATTCACACACCCAGCAGTGGGCTGTGCACCCTGATTTATCGGTTCGCTTGATTTGCAAAATCGGGGTCGGATCGTATGAAAAGCTTTGAAACTCGCTCTTTTCGCTCAGCACACGGGGCACCTTTTAAGGTAGAACTCTCCCTGGCTTAGGAGAGCCCTAACGTCTGTAAGTCACTGGTTTGGGGTTTTTTCAGTTCCCGAATCCTGCCCAGGGAGCGCAAGGCCCCTGCATGCCTCCTGCCCACGCACAAAAAGGGAAAACTGGAGTCTCGGCCCCTCCCGTCTCTAGAAAGGACCTGTGTTCACAGGCTGCTGTGTTTTCTCCTCCTCGTTTTCCTTTTGTGCTGGAGCTGAGTATTTGTAGTAACTCTTTTCCATTACGGAAGTGTTAGAAGCTTGGAAACATTTCTGAATTTTCATTTTAATTCAGCCTGGAAAGAGAAACACACCTGCCCACCTGCATGCCGCGCCTCCCTCTCCGGCGAGAACAGCTGTTCGCCTGTGGCGCCCGGGCATTTTTGTCTATGCAGATTTATTTTGCCCACAAAGATAAGATGCGTGTTTGCTACTTCTGAGGGCTTTTTCCTGTCGGTGGGTTGCAGGTGTTGCTCCGTTTTAGTCAGTATTTCCAAGCACACCTCCCCCACCCCCCGAAAAATGTTTTCCTGTAAACATTTCCCAACGTGTAGAAAAGCTGAAGGATTTTAGCGACACCTCATGCTGCTGCCTTTGCCAAGTCGGGCTGCTTGCCCGACTCAGCTCCATCCTAGACTTTGTGCTTCCACAGTAATTCTGAGTGCTCGCCCTCTCTCTCCTCCCCGCTCTCCCTCGCCCTTTCTCTCTCTCAGCTGACTGCTTGCTTCCCCCTCTTTTCTGCAGTGAGAACACCAGTTCATTTTTAAATATTTCTTTTGAGTTTGGCCACCTCCACGAGACCTAATTGCAACAGCTCCCCCCTTCTGGTATTTTATTTCATCACTTTTAACACGCAAACATTTTAAACCTCAAGAAAAAAATGGAAAGAATTGCAAGTCAGTCACCCGCCACCTAGATTCGACCATGAACTTCTCCCTACACCTGCATTTTGGGGTGCCTTTCAGCCCCCCCAG